GCAGTGTGCAGTGTGTGCAGTACAGAGCGCTGCAGTGTGCAGTGTGTACAGTACAGAGCACAGAAGACCTCAGCACAGTGTGGGACACATTCAGGACGCTGGCACACTGCTGTACCTGCTCCTCCAGGCCCCGGACCCTCTGGCGGTGTGCCCTCTCTCTGGCCTCCAGGGTGCGCTCTGCCTCCCTCTGCGCCACCCTCAGCCTCTCTGCCTCGCGCTGGGCCTCCTCCCGCTGCCTCGCTGCCTCCTGGCCGCCGTGGCTCTGCTCCACCTCCGCCAGCTGGGCCTGGGCGTGTGCACACCGGCCAGGAGTGAGAAGGGGCAGAGCAGAACGGTGCTCCAGTTCTCTTAAAATACCGTCGCTTCTTCTAGGTGTCGGCATGAATAGATCTGCTACACTGTGGCTCTACAGCATGTTACCCTAATCTACAGCATCTACTCCCCCAGCCCAGCTACCCCAGTACTACCCCTGGGCCAGATATCCCAGCCCCAGCTGCCCGTGGGGCAGTACAGCCAGCACTCACTCACCAGGCACAGTGCTATCTTCCTCCTTACCCGGCTTAACTCCTCCTTCAGCGCACAGTCAGCCAATAGAAACACAGAATCCCCACTGTCAGCCAATCACAAGAACTGTACGCCCAGAGTAGGTGGAGCCTGAGCTCCAGGTCAGCATGCGGGCGGGGCAGGCAGGCCTTCTGTACTGTCACTCTAAATCAAGACGACCCCCCCCGCGGCCCCCCCACCCTCTCTTTCTGTGTCTGCTGTGTGGGTTGAGAAGCGCTCAGAGGACCTGATGAGAAAAACAGCTCGAGACAACAGACAGAAGCAATGAGTGTCTGGCGCGAGAGACAGGGAGAGAGATCGGTGCAGACTATCCTCACCCACACTGAAGGTAAACACAGGGCCTGACAGCTCCTCCTACCTGTAGCAGGGTGATCTGCCGGTGAGCGTCCTGTAGCTCCAGTTCTGCCGTGGACAGAGAGCGGTCAAGCCTGCCCTTCTCCGCAGAGAGGCGCAGACTCCCCTCCTCCGACTGCATCTTCTGACGCTCCACCTGGGAGAGAGGAGGAGTCTGGGTGAGAGTCTATCTGCTGAGCCCAAAGACACTGGGACTGAGCCCACCGAGCCCACAGACACTGGCTCTGAGCCCACCGAGCCCACAGACACTGGCACTGAGCCCACAGACACTGGCACTGAGCCCACAGACACTGGCACTGAGCCCACCGAGCCCACAGACACTGGCACTGAGCCCACCGAGCCCACCGACACTGGGACTGAGCGAGATCTGATTCTCAGGTCGGAATCAATACCAGCTACACTGATCTCCTCCCTCTCAGACCCCAGCCCTTGTCCAGTAACCCCGCACCTCGCCCAGTGACCACAAGCCCTCGTCCAGTGACCCCAAGCCCTCATCCAGTGACCCCGCACCTCGTCCAGTGACCCTGCCCCTCGCCCAGTGACCACAAGCCCTCGTCCAGTGACCCCAAGCCCTCGCCCAGTGACCCCAAGCCCTCGCCCAGTGACCCCAAGCCCTCGCCCAGTGACCCTGCCCCTCGCCCAGTGACCCCAAGCCCCCGCCCAGTGACCTCACACCTTGTCCAGCGTGCTCCTCAGGGCGTTCTTGTCCTTCTCCAGCCGCACAGCCGCCCTCTCCGCCTCCCTCTTCTCGCTCTCCAGCTGGGACAGCGCCCTCTGCAGGCTGCGCACGCGCTCGGCGGCCAGTGCGCGCTCCGACTGGAGGCGCTCCACGCTGCGCTGGGCCTCCTCCAGGGCCTGGACACGCTGGCGCAGAGCCTGGCACGGGACAAGACGAGCAGCTCATGTCACGGGCAGAGAGGTCAGGGGGCGCGGGGACCGGTGAGGCGTCCCGGAACGATTTTGACCAACCCCACCCACAGGAAACCCTTCTTGACCAGCGGTGGAACCAGGAGAAGAACTGCTTCTTTACACCAAGAGCTGGTGGTGTCTGGAACAAGCGAACTGTGTTATTGAACCCAGCTCCCTGGGATCCTCCGGGAAAATTACTGGATGAGATCCCGGATTTATGAGCTCAACTACCCCTCTCAATCCCCCTCCTCTCCCACCTCCTGTGCCGACGACAGCTCTGCCTCCAGCTCCCCCCTCCTCAGCTCGCTGTCCGACAGCTCGCTCTGCAGGCCCTGCACGCGCTCAGCGAGGGCCGTCACACTGCGCTTCCCCTCCGCCGCTGCGGCCCGCGCGCTGTCCACGCGCTCCTGTAGGGGGCGACAGGCGCCGTCACGCACAGAGACACAGCGGAAAAGCAGAGCACGGGCGCCGGCGCCGAGTCTGTGTGCCTGTCCGACCTGTAGGAGGCGCCTGTCCTGCTCGCTGGAGGCCAGTGCTTTCTGCAGGGCGGCCAGGCGCTCCTGGGTGGCGCTGTGGGCGGCGGTGGCCTCGGCCAGGCCGGCTGCCAGGCTGGCTGCCCTCTCCTTCAGCGCCGCCTCGCTCTCCTGCGCCTTGGCCAGCGCCAGGTTCAGCCTCTCCACCTCCCTCTGCAGAGCGCCGGCGCGCATCTCGCCCTCCGACACCTGCCGGACAGCGACAGCAGCGTGACACCTCGCCCAGTGAGTCCCGCCCGGTCCAGTCCAGTGTTGGTCCAGCCCAAATCAGATTCAGTGTACCCCAGCCCAGTCCGGTCCGGTCCAGTGTTACTCCAGTCCAGTCCAGCCCGGCCCAGTCCAGTCCAGTATAAAGTCCAGCCCAGCCCAGCGCTTGCTGAGCCCGGCCCGGCCCGGCCCGGCCTAGCTCACACACCTGCTTCTGCAGCGCCTCCAGCCGGTCCTGGCTGCTCTGAATGTCGCTCTCTCTGTCCCCCAGGCTCAGCCTCAGCCTCTGCAGCTCCCCCTCCAGGCTGCGCCTCGCCAGCTCCAGCTTGGTGCCCCGGGCCTCTGCTGCCTCCAGGGCCTCACGCAGCCTCCGTCTCTCTGCCTCCAGCCTCGCCTCTCCAGCCTTCAGCTTACTCATCTGCTCCTGGGGACGGAGGACAGAGGCCTTGGCTTTAATCAGAGGATGAGCCCAGAGCCTCCAACTCAGGACTGAGGGCTGACTGAGAGGCTGAAACAGTGACTGAGACAGTGACAGTAGCTGAGACAGACAGACAGGGGGACAGGGGGACAGTGGCTGAAGCAGACGGACAGGGGGACATGGGGACAGTGACTGAGACAGACAGACAGACGGACAGGGGGACAGTGGCTGAGACCGCAGGAGGGGAGGGCAGTGTCACCTGTGTGAGGCGCCGCTCGGCCTCTGCACTCTGCATGCTCCTCTCCAGCTGGCCCACGCGCTCCGACAGCGCTCTCCTCTCCTTCTCCCCTCGCCGCACCGCCTCCTCCTGCAGCTGCAGCGCCGCCTGAGCCGAGCTCAGCCTCCCGTCTGCCCCCCGCTTCCCTGAAACCGGCACAACGCAGCCTCACCACAGCCCCTCAGAGCGTCTCTCCCTCTCACTCTGGCTCACTCCTCACTGGGAGTGTGTCTCACTCCTCACTACATCTCACCCTCCTCACCGTCTCACTCTCGTCCTCACTGCTTCTCTCACTCTCACTGTGTCTCTCACTCTCACTCCTGACTGCGTCTCTCACTCCTCGCTGTCTCACCCTCCTCGCTCTGGCTCAGTGCTCTCTCCAGCTGTGTCAGGCGGCTCTGCGTCGTGTCTCTCTCTGCCTCCATCTCTCCCAGCTGCCTGGTGACTGAGCTCAGCTGAGTCTGCACCTCGTCCTGCAAAACACAGTCTGTCAGCATGGACTGGAGTCTCTCTGTCCCACTCCCTCAC